TTCAGCTCATAGTCCGAGGTAGCAATCCATATTTGCAGTGGAGTCAAGGCCTAAAGATTTAAAATGGCTAGTCACATCACATCCACAGAGAGCAATCCATGTTCACTTGCTTGTTCACTTATACTCAGCTTGATTACTCCATTCTTACACAGTTTAGGACCACCTGCCTAGGGAATGGTGCTGCCCACAGCAGGTTGGATTTTCCCACATCAGCTAACTTAGTTAAGACAATCCCCCAAGACATGGTCCAAAGCCAACCCAATGTAGACAGTTCCTCATTGAGACTCTCTTCCCAGGTGATTCTAGACTGAGTCAAGTTGACAAAGCTAAGCATCACAATGCCTCATTGTCATCTCTCATCTCTCGCAGGGCCACCAAACTCTTCTCAACTAGTCCCCTCCTATCCTGACATCTCTCCTTTCCTTTTCTTCCAGACTCCATGCATGCAGCCACAGCTATTGTGTATTAATGACTGAAGTGGTCTCATTGTATCCAACTGACAGCACCTTGCTGAACCCTTCCCCATCTTTCAGCTGCCATAGTCCTTCCAAACCCAAATATTGTGCTGTCCTTGAGCCTCAGAGGGGGAGGCTTGGGAAGTGGACTACATTTTAAAAAATACATTTCCAGAAGAATATCTTGAAGGCATCAAAACTTATTCCCAGCAAGCAATTTACAAACCGCAGTTTGTTCTATTTGCTTTTAATGTGTGAGCAATCAAACCCAAGGCCTCAGGCATGCTGGGAAAGCACTCAGCCTTGAAGCCACATCCTCAGTTCAGCAGAGACACTCACAAAAATGTCCCCCAAGCCCTTCCAGGCTTCATGGGAAACCCTGGACTGGGACTTCCTCTCTGTATCCATGTTTGCTTCCCCTAGCTTTGACTGTTTTATTTCTACTTTGTCAACATTATGAATAAAATTGTTTTATTTCAAATATAGAGGAAACTGTAGTTACATTGATTTTTAACACACCACCTACAGAATGTTCTTCAAATTTTCGTTTCTTTTCCGGCTTATTTCTTCTGAGTAGACCATTGCACCTTGGACAAGTAAAGTGAGTTTTCCTTATCTCTCTATTCCTGTGATCCACCAGCCTGATGAGACCACCTATAGTGTCAACAAGTAACACGAAACATTGCATCTCTGTCTACAATGTGGCCACTAGCTGTGGATGGTTGCAAATAGTGATCAGGCAGGTTTATTTTATTCTAGTTGCACTTGGTTTTTGTTAAACAATGAGTGTTGAATTTATAAAAATTACTGCTCCTTCCTAAACAGCGACTTGAAAATTTGGTGGTCACTGTGGAGTTGTAAACTGTCTTCTTCCAAACTGGCTCTTCGAGAGGAGAAGCTTGAGGCCAGTGTGCTGTTTTCTTCTTTCCAGGCAAAGTAGAGCAGGTGTTTCCCTTTGTTCTACTTTACACCGGAATGCACACAGAAAATTTTGAATTTATCTTTGGAATTCTAAAGCTGTGGGAGCCTTTGTCTAACAAGTGCCACTGTTGTATCTGCTCAGATTCAGGCCATCCGGAGACCTGGGAGGGACTGTGACATTCTGTCGCCCTCTGATGACTGCTTCTGTCCCGTTTTTTAGGGTTGCTTTCTGGAAACACCAGTTGGTGGTATGTTGAATCTCTATATTTGGTACTCCACATCTTTTCTTCCATTTCTTATTATTTCCTGTCTTTGTTCTTGGATTCTGTGTTCTGGGCAACATCTGAGTGTGTTTCTCCTATACACCACTGGTTCAGTGTCCATAATATAGTCTTCCCTGTTCTTAATATGTGATTTGATTTGTTCTTACACATATTTCTATGTCTATGCATTCCCTTTCTTTCCTTCCTTGTCTCTACTCGATCCCTTTCATTATATGGCTCAACTATCTTATCCTATTTAATGTTTATATTATATTCTTTTATCCTCAACTATTAATTTCATTCATCAGTTGTTTTTTCAATCATATTCATAAATACCTCTCAGAATTTAAAAACAGTATACATTTAGTGCAGAAAACTTAGGAAATAAAGGAGAACACAGAAGAATATAAAATGACAATTATATCATTAACAAAATGTCATTGTTAATATAATGAAGTATTTTATTTTAGTCAGAATTTGTGTTTTTGAAACAAAATTGGTTTTACTTTTTTCTTCTTTTTATGTCATTACACACTCTCTGGAAGTTGTTGTAGGAAACCCAGTCACACTCATTGGCTCACAGAAGAAAGGCATGAGAGCAGAAGATGGACTCTCTGAGGAAAGAGAGGAGAGCAGCAGGAGTGAAGTGGGTGACCAGAGAGGGTAATGAGGGGTGTGAGCAAGATACATTAGACATGTATGAAATCAATGAACTATATTCCACTAAAGACATTAATCATGGCCAGAGAGGTTGCTCAGTGGTTAAGAGCACTTGCTGCTCTTGCAGAGTCCCATGGTTCATTTCCAGCACCGACATGGTGGCTCACAACCTTCCCAGGTCCAGCTGCAGGAGATTCTCTTCTTCACAGACACTAGGCATATATGTGGTACCACTCACACATGCAGGCAAACACTCATAAGGTAAAAATGAACAAATCTTTTTTAAAATCTTGAAATAGGAGAATGTGCTTGTACACACTACCTCAGCTTCTCCATGCTACCAACTTCTGTAACTTCAGCATAATATCAAACTAAGGAAGTTGATGTTGGTAAAGGCTGCTTTCTCACCATTATTTCATGTGTCTTCATTGGCATGTGCACAGAGCTATGCAATCCAATATATATGTTCATAGAACCACCACAAACAGAACCGTTACAGCACCATTCAGGACATCTCATTCTGTTCCTCCATAGTCACACCTTAACCCTGTCCTTTTTCTGTGAGGTTTTTGTCATTTAATAGTTAGATTGGAAAAGGCATTGGTTGGATAGATGAAATAATTTGATTTCTTTTAGAACCATTGCAAAATGTGGTGAAATAGAGTACATTTTAAAAATAACTAAGAGCAATTTTCAAATATTCTAATTTCAAACCTGGTTTAAATGTTCAAGGTGATAGATACATTATTAGCTTGACTTAGGTATCCAACATTGTATTCAAAATCATGACATCACTCTATACCCCATAAGTATATAAATTTATATAAATATTGTAATTTGTCGATGCCATTTTACAAAGCTTAGCACATATGAAACTCAGACAGTAACTTTGCGAGGTTGACTTTCTTTGCTAAGGATAATGACCCTGAGGTCCATGCAGGGTATTTTCCATATCAGCACACATTTGGAGTCGAGTGTGCACAGCTATTTACCCACTGAAGGAAGTGGGAGCTATTTCCAGGGTTTTTGATCTTAAGAATGAGACTGCTATGAACATTCACACACAGACTGAGATTCTGCAATATACAAGTCTGCAGGGTGCATGATTGTTAAATCCCACTCTTAAAACATAGCACCCTACTATAAAAACTTCTCTATGTCAGGATTTAGTTTTTGAAAACAAATGTCTGACTATGGTTGCATAATATTGTATCATAGGAATTGCACCTCACTTTATTTAACTACTTCCCGAGAAGTTCATGCTTTGTTAGTTGTAGCACAAATCCTACTTGGTATTAATAATAAAAACCCAGTATCAGATATTGGGGTAAATGCTGAAAGATCATAGAAACAAAGGAGCAAGCCATAACCACCTCTTACTTCACCAACTCCTCAGCCTCAAAAGGGGCCAAGCTTCTGTCTCCTCCCACCTTCTATTCCTCTCTCTGCCCAGCCTTATCACTTCCTGTTTCCTCCTCCTTAGTGCTGGGATTAAAGGTGTGTGCCTCCCAAGTACTGGGAGCAAAGGCATGAGATCCCAACTGCTGGGATCAAAGGTGTGTGCCACCACTGCCTGGCCTCTATGGTTAACTAGTGGCTAGCTCTGCAATCTGATCTCCAGGCAAGTTTTATTTGTTAGAGCACAAACAAAATATCATCACAGTTAGTAGCATACCAGATGAATTTTAGACGTATCTTCTCTTTCTAGTAATGCTTGTAAAAACTGTAGGCACTTTTGATATGTTTTTAAAATGTAGCACTTTCAATGTTCCATTTCACTCATGCTTAGAAATTGTTTACTATAGGCCATTGTTTATTATTATTATTATTATTATTATTATTATTATTATTATTATTATTTATTCCTCTTCATTTTCTCCAAAATGAAGAAAGGTTTATGCAGATTTGTATTTGCTAATAGACATCTTAGGTATACTAAAAATTGTGTGTGTGTGTGTGTGTGTGTGTGTGTGTGTGAGAGAGAGAGAGAGAGAGAGAGAGAGAGAGAGAGAGAGAGAGAGAGAGAGAGAGAGAGGGGGGAGAGAGAGAGAGAGAGAGAGAGAGAGAGAGAGAGAGAGACTTTATATGGTATATGTAGACATGTGTGTACAAGTGTGTATGCCTATGTGTACACACAGAGGCTGTGTGGGGCCCCAGGTGCCCTGCTCTATCATCCTGTGCCTTATTTCCTTGAGCTACATATAGGTGCTGGGAATCAAACCTGGGTCCTCTGGAAGAGCAACCACTGTTCTTAACTGCTGAACCATCTCTCCAGCCCTCTTTTCATTGGTTTTTAATGCTGCCTAGTTCTGTGGTCAGAAGCACTCCATTAAACATAACCTACAGATCACAAGCTTTCTTCTCTCCCCCTTCTCCTCTTATTTTATTTGAGGTGCTGGGGCTTAAATCCAGGGCCTCCTTCACGCTAAGCATGCATTCTGCCACTGAGCCATATACCCAGCCCCTTTCCTGTCTCAGTGCTTACATGTTGCTCTCTAGACAGTAATAAACCTGCACAATTCACTCTATTTGCGTCCTCCACTCTGTGTGTGTGTGTGTGTGTGTGTGTGTGTGTGTGTGTGTGTGTGTGTGTGTGTGTGTGTGTAACAACTCTGGCCACCAGAGCCTCCACAGGACTGTAATAAGAAAGGTAGTATGTGGGGTCAGTCAACACAGAAGCTGTGATCTCATCAGAACTTACCTCCTACATACCAGAGCTGCATGTGTCTCAGATATTGAAAGTCATGAAAAATCTCTTCCCTTCCCCATAATCATCTTGCTGTTCTGCCTCCAGTAGACAAGAGTAATTCTTCAAGGAAATCCCTCCTGGAGTCTGCCTGTCCAGTGCCTTTGCCTTTTGTTGTATTTCAAAGTTACTTGATCAGAATTGAGTCATTGTACAAATTTGATGTCTCAAGATTTTCATTCCTTGTGACCCAGACATGTGCAATGGCTTTGATCTAGGGGGTGGCGCAGAGCAGTGGTTTATCCTCCCATAAATGATGATGACTCCCATTTCTGATGCATCAGCTGAGCACCTGTAAGAACCAGACACTGAAAACACAGAGCAAATGACTTATTTGTCAATTCCCCTTAGTGTTTTCTAGGGCCTTTACCTCACATTGAAAAAACGCAATTCCACCCCTTCCTGCAGGAGCTGGATCTTTGCCTTTTGTCCAGCTCAATGGCCCTTCTTCTGTCCACTCTCCATTTTTCTTTAACCATAAAGAACTCCGCTGTCTCTCTTACCTCAGAATCCTCTATGACTTCTGACTGAAATGTTCTTTCTTTATATTCACATAACATAGAGCTGCATGTCAATATCTCAACTGTCATCTCCTACAGAAGTCAAAACACTGCACTGAATTATCAAAAGTATGGAAAGAAGGAATTTCACCCCAACCAAATCCTGCTTTGTTTAGGTGTAATCAGTCAATGGGTTATTAACAAGCTTTCCACTATGGTTCAGGTTCAGTGTTCGACACTAAATATTGTTGAGTGGTTTGCTGTGCCTCTGACTTCTTGAAGTCTGTTGTGTAACACTGTTTCTAGGGAGACATAAACAAATATGTACCACCCTAGATAGGAAATGTCAACAGATAAAAGTAAGGGTACCTCAAGATGGAGGGTTTACGTAGAAGGAAATTGATAGACAAATCTACATGCTTTTTGTACCTAATGGTCTTCAGACAGAGACAACCTGGCCAAGGAGCAGACAGTAGCAGTGCGATAGGATGGTGTCAGCCTATCATCAACCTTGCTGTGATGTTCTTAAGTCCCTTACCCAGAACTCCCACATGCTTTTCCTCTCTGATTTCTATTCTTCTCATTTATAAACTCAGATTCTGTTAATTTTCAAAGTAACCTGAAGCACCATCACCTCACCTATTCAGCCGGCTTCCCCATCACCTCATCTATCTGGGAGCTCAGCTGGCTTCCCCATCACCTCACCTGTCTGGGAGCTCAGCTGGCTTCCCCATCACCTCATCTATCTGGGAGCTCAGCCGGCTTCCCCATCACCTCATCTATCTGGGAGCTCAGCTGGCTTCCCCATCACCTCACCTGTCTGGGAGCTCAGCTGGCTTCCCCATCACCTCATCTATCTGGGAGCCTGGCCAGCTTCCCAGCTCCAGTCCCAGGAGCGGGTCACCCTGCTTACCTGAGGCACAAAGCTCAAACACACTGGTCCTCATGCTCGCCCACAGATGTTCCAGGGGAAGCCTCTCTTTGACTTTTGCATCTCCCCACCTTGTGAGGAGACTGATGAGGGCTAGTTGCCATGGTGACTTATGGTCCTGAGATCCTTGCCTTGTTCTCCACAGGGAGGCGAGATGAGTAAGACCAAGAGTGAAAACTGGAATCCAAAAGAGGCTGATATTTTTGTTCCAGAATCTTTCTCATGACTAAACTATGTAATCCCAGTCGTCTAATTAGTGCTTCTTAGTCTCAGTTTATTCTTCAGAAAATCAGGGATAGTAAGCAGTCTTGTTTTGAGAACCCTCCAAAAAGTAAGCATAGTTATTCCTTTAAGGATTGAGGGGAACATCCGCTGTATAGTAAGGCAACCGATATTCTTATTTTCTTATTGCAATTTTCAGTCATTCACCATCATCATCATCATCTTCTTCACCACCATCATCACCAACATCACGAATACCATCCAGTCAGGGACAGAGCCATATAAAAGAGCAAGGAAAATGAAAGTCAAAACTTTTTCTTTTATAAGTGGTTTTATTGAGATATAATTGTCATGCAAAAATGCTTAAAGTTTACAATTTGAAATTTTTAACATGTGCATATTCATGAAAGAATCCAGACACCCATGGTAACAAGCATGCATCAGCTTAAAAATTTCTTCAGTGCTTATTTATAAGCACTTTGTCCTGTTCTGGCCCTTCCCATCTCCCAATGCCCAGACAAACACTTACATGCCTTTTTTTCCCAATAACTGTGTTTGTATATTCTATAATTTTGCATAAATAGAATCATACAAATATTTTACCTGTTAAAAAACTGTAATACTTGTTTTAATACTCATTTTGTGTGTGAGTGTGTGTGATGTTTTCCCATGGTAATGTATTATCCATTTGTCTATTGATTAGTATTTGTGTTGCTTCTTCCTTTTAGACATTACATAAAAATTTATCATGAAGATTTATATGCAAGACATATATTAATTAATATTCATGTTTTTTAGTTTGAATTTTTACTTTTAGAAAACCACAACTGGACACAAGGCAGAGATCAACAGATCATGGGGACTCCAGCCACAAAGAATACTTCTACATCACAGCTCCTGCATCTATGTCTCAAGGAATATAATAGAAGAGGGGGCAAAAAGAATGTAAGAGACAGGATACCAGGAAGTCTGCCTTGATACATTCTCTCCTAGAAATGACGTATAGGAAGGACCTGAGTAAAGTGATATCAGTGGGCATGTTAATGTGAAGGGACAAATTTTCTTGAAGTCCCACCCCTAGACAAAGAACTAATGATTTCTGGGAAAGGGAGAATCAGCCTCTCCTAGGAATGAGAACCCTAATTGGTTGTTCAATGCAAAGTGTTCAGCCTTGAAATCATATACATACTACCAACAAAAACGGACTCATCAGCTTGTATTTATATATAATTGTGCATACACATACACATACACAAATATACAACTAGATGTATGTAACCATGATAATAAAAGAAAAAGAGGCTATCAGTTTAAGAGTAGGGGGGGGGGTCATAGAGGGAGTTGAGGGAGAAGAGCTGGGAGAAGCTGGAGGGAAGAAAGAGAGGGGAAATTTGGCCTGCTTCTATTTCAATTAAAACCATATTTAAAAAGAAAAACAATAAAATTGAATTATAAATAGAAAATGGGAATTCTAATCTATTTTTATTTGTTATGTTTTAAAACCATACATGAGCTAGGCGGTGGTGGCACACGCCTTTAATCCCAGCACTCGGGAGGCAGAGCCAGGCGGATCTCTGTGAGTTCGAGGCCAGCCTGGACTACCAAGTGAGCTCCAGGAAAGGCGCAAAGCTACACAGAGAAACCCTGTCTCGAAAAACCAAAAAAACAAAAACAAAAACAAAAACAAAAACAAAAACAAAACCATACATGCATATGAATATGGATTTACATCAATGTTCTATTAATATTAATTTAGATTATCATATAATTAAAATTTTGATATGGAGTTATCTTTTTAAATATCTCTTTTATGTAGCTTAATATTACTACTGAAAAACAAAGAAAGTCTTCACCATTTATGAGCAAGGGCTGCAAAGTACGTGCCTCAGTTTCCTCTTGTGTAAGCAGAGGGTATCAGTCTTTCTGTGGGGATTATTCTGAAGATTCACAAGCTTATTGAATGGAAGTGTTTGACAAATAATTCAGGCTTACAACAAATGAATGGACCTGACTTTGAGTAAAGACCTGGCAGGAAATACAGCCTCTGATGTTTTTAGGTAAACATTTAAATTCATTGCTAAACCTTTAAAAGAGAGTTCATAATTAAAGGAAGATGAAAAACAGTTCCCCTTTACAAATAATTTCAAAAGACACGATCTTTCAACCTGTTTGAAATGAAGTCACTCTGTGTGAATTCATCTGACAGTCTAATACGATTCTTCCCCCAATGTAGTGCTGTGAAGTCTCTTAGCTCATCAGGATCTTAAGGTGTTTCAAGTGATTCATCTGCTACTCTACAGAGGGATGAAGGCCCAAATGGCTTGAGTAAAGCCCTATGCATATTGCACTAAGAGAGTTGAGTGGGGAGTCTTGAGAGTCCGTAGCTCCCAGACAAAAGGTTCAAATTATGTTTCCTCCCAAGACCTTCAGGTTCTGACTTCTCTTAGCCTCACTCCCTAATATTTGACAAATGCACAAAGATCCAGTCAGAATGCTGTATAATGCTCTTCCATGCCCCTCTATGCTTGGGAAGCCTCTTCTGCTACTTTGCCTTCTTCTCAGATGACCTCTCCAAAAAGTCTCTGCCTCCTCATCTTCTCAAACTTACCTGAGACCTAAGGGCCCACAAGAAAGTTCACTCACTTACCATCTATGTACCTGCCATATTTCTACCAAACAAGGTTCAAAGTCTCTTCTGAGATTCATGCAATCTCTTAACCGTAATCCCCTGTAAAATCAGAATCAAAGAGCTGATCGCATACTTCTAACATATAATGTACAGGATATACATTACCATTCTAAATGTAGGGAAGGGAGCATAGTGACTGGACCAAAAGCTGGACCAAAGCAAGCCTGAAAACCAGCTGGGCAAACTCCACACTCTGCATCTCCATGTCTGATGTCAAAGCTCTCTTCAGATCTCCAACTCCTTTCAGCTTTGTTGACTGCAGCACACTTCTCTCTCTTGGGCTGATTCAGCTCTCCTCAGCAGGTATCCCATGGCTCTGGCATCTCCAACATCTTGAGGTCTCCAAGGCAATCCAGGCTTCACCGTCACAGCTTCACTCAATGGCCTCTCCAGGCCTCTATTCAGGGTCACCCCGACACATGCTGGCCTCAGTGGCTGTCCTTAGTCTTGGGGGCAAGCTCCATAGCCCCTGTCTGGTATTCTTAACTCCAGAACCATGCGGCTGAAGCTGCCAAGTTCTGCTGCTTTCTGGGACTGGAACATGGCCCCCTCATTCAATTACATTTTTACCAGCTTTCTGTTTTCCTTAACTGACTAAACTTGACTGTCCTGGAACTGGATCTGTAGACCAGGATGGCCTCATATTCAGGGATCCACCAGCCTCTGCCTTCTAAATGCTGGGATTAAAGGCATGCACCACCACACCCAGCTCTAAACTTTTGTTTAATTCCTTTTCACAAGTTGGAAATTTAACTTGGTGTGATCTTGCCCTGAGGTCACCACTCCCTTTATTCCATTTCTTAATCTGTTTATCTCCTTGAACACAGAATTTAGCTCCGTTCTACTTCCTGGTGCTCTTTTTTTCCTCAAATATTTTTCCTTGCTCAGCTTGCTCCTTTTCATTATATATCTTTATTAGAGTTAACACTAGCAATCATTATACTAGGCTGTTTTGAGATTTCCTCTGCCAATGGAATTAATACAAAACCCTTCACTCTAGCCCCAGGCAAACTTCTCAGACAAGGACAAAAAGCAGCCACATTCTTCACCAAAATATCACAAGAATGGTTTCTAGGCAGCACACTAAAATTCTTCTCCTCTGAAACCTCTTGAGCCATCATCCCTCCACCAGTTCAGCTCACTCTCAGCACCACTGTCTTCCATGCTCCTATTGGTATGGCCCATTAAGCAGCACTTAAAGCATTCCACTGCTTTCCTAATCCAAACTTCCAAAGTCCAAATTCCTTCAAACAAAAGCATGGTGAGTCCTTTCACAGCTATGCCCCAGTTCCTGGTACCAACATCTGTCTTAGTTAGGTTTTGTATTGCTGTAAAAAGACAGCATGACCACAGCAACCCTGATAAAGGAAAACATTTAATTGAGACTGGCTTACAGTTTCAGAGGTTTAGTCCATTATTATCATGGTGCAACACGGTGGCATGCAGGCAGACAAGGTACTGGAGCTGAGAATGCTATATCTTGATAGGTAGGCAACAGAAAGTGGTCTGAGATACTGGGCAGTATCCTGAGCATATATGAAACCTTAAAGCCCACCTGCTTCCCCAGTGACACACTTCTTCCAACAAGGCCACATCTACTCCAATAAGGCCCTATCTCTAATTGTGCCACTCCCTTTGGGGGCCATTTTCTTTCAAACTACCACAGAAAAGGATGGCAATTTATGGTGGTCAAGTTTACTGGATAACAAACTTTCTCAGTATCCAAATGTTCCAGTGTGTCAGTGGGATGGTTTGAATGTGTCTTACAGTTGGTTAGGTGGTATAGGAGCCATGTCCAAGTTCGATTTTATTGATTCTCCTTGTACTTATTGAATGAGAGAAATTGCTTTAAAGGGGATTCCTCCAGATTCCAAACTATCTCCCACCCCACAAATAACTTCAAATAATCCTCCTAAACTCGATTATCTCAAATGCACACACTGTGATGAGGAAGGAGGTGGAGACTGTTTACTTAGAAGAGGCACCACTTATGCACCAGGCTACGTGAGTGAGATGGAGATCACTCACGCAGCCTGGTGCATGACGGAGGGAGGAGTACTGCAGGTCCACAGTTGAGAACCTTCATGTGCCAGGCTCTGGACGAGATCATCACACATGCTTTAAAAAAGATTTTTATAAAAAGTCATTTCTCACATTTCATAAATGGACAAAATCAAAGCAGAAATGATGTAAAATAAAAGTGAGTTGGCAGTTATTAAAATGATTTCAAAATAATTTAAAATGGAGAGATGATAATTTATTACCTGAGTTTTGGCTGTTGCTTGCAAGTGATACACTGAGTTTCAGAAAATTGGAGACCCTGGGTGACTCATGGAAAGCCAAATTATGAGACATCTGGGCTTTCATCTAATTTAAAGTCTTCAATTCTCCCAATCA